GGGCACCACAGTGTTTTAATTGTTTTAGTTTTATAATAATTTTTTTTTTACTTTTTTAGAAAGTGTTTTTCAATTTTTTCTTTTTATGGATTTTTTATTTATTAAAAATTTCTACATCCTCCCATTTACCTTCCACTCCCCCTACTGCCCCTCCCCTTCCCTCTCCAGTTCTAAGAGCAGTCAGGGTTCCCTGCCCCGTGGGAAGTCCAAGGTCCTCCATCCAGGTCTAGGAACGTGAGCATCCAAACAGACTAGGCTCCCCAAAAGCCAGTCCATGCAGTAGAATCAAAACCCAGTGCCATTGTCCTTGGCTTCTCAGTCAGCTCTCATTATCAGCCACATTCAGAGAGTCTGGTTTGATCACGTGCTCCTTCAGTCCCAGTTCAGCTGGCCTTGGTGAACTTCCATTAGATCAGTCCCACCATCTCCATGGGTGGACACACCTCTCGTGGTCCTAACTCCTTGCTCATGTTCTCCGTCCTTCTGCTGTACATTTGGACCTTGGGAGCTCAGTCCAGTGCTCCAATGTGGGTCTCTGTCTCTATCTCCATTCATTGCCAGATGAAGGTTCTATGGTGATATGCAAGATATTCATCAGTGTGGCTATGGGATAAGGCCAGTTCAGGCACCCTCTCCTCTGCTTCCCAAGGAACAAGCTGGGACATCATGGGGTACTGAACTTAACAGAGAATTCTCAACAGAAGAAGTTCAAATGGCCAAAAAACACTTAAGGTCATGCTCAACCTCCTTAGCAATCAGGGAAATGCAAATCAAAACAACTTTGAGATACCATCTTACACCTGTCAGAATGGCTAAAATCAAAAACACCAATGATAGCCTATGCTGGAGAGGATGTGGAGTAAGGGGAACACTCATCCATTGTTGGTGGGAATACAGACTTGTGCAACCACTTTGGAAATCAGTGTGGCAGTTTCTCAGGAAACTGGGAGTCAACCTCCCTCAGGACCCAGCAATTCCACTCTTGGGAATATAATAATTCTTTAAATTGTGTTACATTTATCTTTGACCTTGATATTTCTTTGACATTTAGTTTACTATTCTGATCTTTGTTTCTACATATAAGCATTAGTAATTTTGTCAGTATCACATAATTTGCTGCAGTTTTTATCAAAACTGAAGTAAATCTGACAAAGTTGGGAAAGAATGTAATCTTGGCACTATTGAATCCTCCTATCTATGAACATAGACTAGCTCTTCATTTGAGTGAAAATCTCTTGTAATTGTGATTTCATAGTAAATTTTATTTAAGACTGACTTTATGTCAGATCAGCACAACTGCTGCTTTACTGTGCTGCTCTGTTTGTTTGTCTTGTTTAAATGAAAGAAACCACATGTGAGTTGGAACAGAAAGCTCAAAGTTAAGATTTTGTTTGTTGTTTTTCAAGACAGTAATAGCTCTGCCTGTTTTGGAACTCACTGCGTAGACCAGGCTAGCCTCAAACTTCACTGAGACCTGCCTGCCTCTGCCTCTCATGTGCTGGGACTAAAGGCATGTGGTACCACTGCCTAGATAAAGTTAAGAATTTTTAATGGAATTGGAATAAAGGATTATTCACTAATGAGAAAGAACTCTGAAAAATTAAAGGATTACAGGAAAACAGCAACCCAACTCGAGGCTGGGATCTAGAGAAACTTTTTTGCTGGCCCAACACTAACCATGGTGTTAAGCTAGAGCCGTGAACCTATCTGTGGCTCAGTAGAGTAATGGAAAGAGTCTCCTGGAAAAATTTCCTTCTTCTGACAATTCAACCCGAAGAAGAACAGTCGAGTGTGTGAGTCAGTTTGAGGGTTGTGAAGGAAATACTTTACTTTTAAACTATTGACTATTTACTAAGGTGTTTAATGCAGTTGGACTTTGCTACTGTATACTTTAGGAAGAAAGTCAGCTCAGTTCTGGGAACTTCTATGGCCTGTAACCTGCTGCAGAGATGACAAGATAACTGTTGCGTTTCGGAAAGTATTCCAGTTGTATTGACCAGCAGATATCAGGACTACAAGCTAGCAAGAGTTGTTTCCATGGAATGCAGCAACAGCCCTAGCATATGTCAGTGTGTTTTTGCTAGAATCTTGTTTGTTGAGTGGTGCAGACCACTCTGAAGATGAAAGGGAAGCCCTTCTTGTTAGTGCCCTTTACTTCTACACCTCATCAAAGGACCTGAACATAAATACATGCATTGTGCTCATCTCCATGGCTTCTACAATTTTCTGTCATCAGCTCTCCTCTCTACTGAACCAACTTCTCTTTAAGAAGAAGATGCCCGTGCTTGGTGGGGCTCAGTTTTCTTCAATAGTTCTGGTGTTTTGTTGGCTAGCCTGTTGGGTTCGGAATAAAGTTGCTCCTTTTGTACTTTAATTGCTTCCCTTGCTTTAGCATATGCTGAGTTGGGCATAAAACATGAAAACCTTAAGAAACACTAACATTTACTAATACGCTGTTGCAGTGAAATACCAAGCATTTTGTATTTATCACTTTCATAATCAGTATGAAGATAGAATGTGTTTGTAATTCAAGGTTATGGAAATACGGTAAGGGCTATGTTCCATCACAGATGTTTACTAGTGAGTTGATGGGCTGTAATCCCATGGCATACAAGTACTTGCCAAAATTGAGTACACCTGTATGTGGGCTACCAGTGCCCTTGCTGTGAGAGTCTAGGAGGGTTTACTGATCAGTATCAATAAGTAGGCATTTATTCATTTGTTCCTCTCTGGAATTTTAGTAGTCCTTTTAAAGTGATTCTGTGGCAGGATGCTTTTATAGCCTGCTTGGGAGTGTTCCTGTTGTCAGCTCTAGTGGACTTGTGTGGATAATTAAAAGCAATTCACTCACAAGTACTCCTACTTTTTAATAATTCTGACATTTTTCTTCTGTCCTCCTGTCCCGTGTTCCTGGCATGTGGTATTGCAGGGACGGGACCGTATGTCCTCCCTGCTTAGGCTCAAGAGCTGAGGTGTCACATACTCTCTGGGTCACTTGTCTAATGACACGTACATATCACGAGTCTCTGTCTAAGGTTTTGCCACTTTCCTTGCCTTGTTGAAACCGTGTGTCCTCTCTTCTTTGCCCCTTTAATTGCCGTTATTTGATGGCTAGTGTATTCCTGCTTTGCTCAGGAAACACAGTGAACTAGTTGTAGGTTCAGTGATCTCTATAGCATTGGAGCAGTTGTGCCAGGGTTGTCTGTGAGGCTGTGCAGCCTGGCATCTGAGCATCTGAGCTGTTGAAGACAATAGGGAAGGAAGAGGCCACACTGCTGAGAGAATAACCTAACTCTTCTACCTCCTACTTAGCAGGCAGTGATACTTTTAATTGAATTGGGGGTGGTAACATGCACTATTTTCCCCGTCTTAGCCCTAACTCCTGAGCTGGCATTGTGTCTCCCCTGGAGGCCTGCAGTGGAGCAGAGGACTCTGAGTCAGCAGTGCTAGACTGGTGAGGTGAGCCGCAGGAAGGTCCCAGTTCCTTGTCCCAACTCCTAAAGAGCTGATACGGGTTGACACTTTTCCACCTTTGAAGTTAAAGAGAGCTTTGGGCTACTTCTGGTATTCACAAGGCAGAGCAGTACCCACTGCTCCTGTGTGATGTCCTTGCACCCTCTGTTCTGTTCTTGCACCCTCATGTTGCATCATGACCCCATGATGTGTTTACCACCCTCTCAGGGGACAACCAGAGCTTGGAACTCAGGAACATGGTGAATAACAGGTAGATGGTAATGTGAGTCTTTGAAAAAAGTTCCCTTGGTTGGGAAGAGCAGTTCAGGCAGATAGATGTTCCCCAGACACTGCAAAAGTGTCAACACTCACAGTGTTAGGAATTGAAGAAACCTTCTAAGCCAAAGAAAGAGATAATTCCAAAGACTTCCTGACATGGGGTTCTGCAAGAGTTTTACTTAAATACACATGTGACTAGATAAAATACCTGAGTCTATGGCAAAGGAGAAAATACCAAATCTTTTCTAGGTTTTTGCTGCTACTACAGAGGCTGCTGGGGTTGTGATAGCCAAGGCCGGAATGTATGTTCCATTAGTAGTGACTGTCAGTGACAGCTGACGTGTGCTGGATACATTTGTTTAAAGAGATGTTTGAAGAGATTCTTGCTTATTTCTATCTGTTAATGTTACTTTCCGAAATCTAAAATGTCAGTCTTCCCCTGTTAGACTCTAGACATGCGGTCAGTACACCAAGCAGGGGACACTGGCCATCAGTCTTCTCACTTGCAGTGCAGGCCGCAAGAGACTGATCACATGACTTCTTCAGGCTCAGAATGTTTCTTTGTCTGTGGAACTTTTGGGAGTAGTTTGAGGATCATCTTGGGAGAGGACACTTGGGAGCAGACTGACTTAACATGTGACAGTGCCGAGCAGGAGTGTTAGCTGACAGGGAGAAAGGGGGACGGAACAGAACCTATACTTTCCAGATGGTGGATGTGTTTAAATCTGCAGTGTTGCCACAGTGTTTTATATCGGAGTGGTTCAGCCATGGTTCTTGTGTAGACACCCTGAAGGGAGGGTAGAGACTGCTTCAGTGTTCCCACCACTAGGCCTGGGTATTTAGGCAGGCCTGCCTCAGGCAAGTGAAGGTAGACAGGATGACCATAGTAGCAGAGTACAGTGGTATGGGTGGATGGTTTTTGTTTTCCTTGTTTTCTCATATGCAGTGAAGAGTCAGGACTGAAATGCTGGGTAGGACAAGCCACATTGTACTTCTGTGTACTGGATCTAATGAGGGAGCAGACTTCAGAAAAGAGTAGTACTAATAAAAGTATTCTTCTCCAGCTGGATGCCACCAGGTGAGCAGGTGTTACTAGGGCCCAGGATGTGGGCTCTGCAATAGGTGCTGAGGCTTGGCTGGGACTGTGTTCTGCTGTGTAGGTCAGAGGCTTATAGATCACAGGCTGTTTTCAAGTGTGTCTGTTACATACCATTTCTTAACTCTGCTTGTTTGAGGGAACTGAATCTGTGTCTTTCTTCTTGTTTCAGGTTCCTGTATGAATCATCAATAAGAACTTTGGGAGAGTTTCTAAATTCATGACAACACCACCATCTTTGAGTGTGTAGAAATAGACTCATGAAAGTGAAATGTGTGTATATCTTTCTTGCCTTTTCTTCTTTTGTCAGACTAAGCCTGAAGTCCTGAGTCTGTAGTTACCCAAAGATGAGGCCAGTAGAGCGCACTGGTGCTCTGCTCTACACGCTGTGCCTTTAATCAGCTGGCGGTCATGGAGAGTGGTGAAGATGTGGAGAAAGACTGGCAAGCAGCTCGCACTCTCACCAGAAGCCTTGGCAATTCGTCTGGGAACTGTGGCCTTGGCCAGCTCCTGAGTTCGTTGGCCTATAACTTATCTACTATTTATTATTTGTTATGAAATTTTCGCCGGAACAGATTTCTCTTTGACCTTTCAGCAGGGCTACCATTAGTCCACACAGAACCTTTGCTCAAATGATGAAAAGAATCACTCTGCCAAGACATTTTACTAAACTGCCTTCTATTGTACAGTTGTAATAAACACACAAATATATAGCATTGATATGAAGTGTCTACTCTGTTGCACTTGTGAGGCGCCTAAGTTTTGCATCTGAACCAGCAGTCCTACTCCATTAAAGGTCATTATCAGATCAGAGAAGACTTCTTGTTTGAGTATTGCTGTGTACTATACATAATCAGGGATAGAGCAGAAATAAAGTTAAGAATGCCTGCGAAAGTGGAAGTGAATTGAGGAAGGCCTGTGCCAGGAGTGAGTTGCTACCTAGAAATGATTGTCATATCTTAAGACCACGGTAGAATGTTGCTCAATGCCCAATTGGCCCTGCTTTTCCTCTGCATGTCTATGGCAGAGACACTGGTCTTTTCCTATATTGATGATTATAGAAGACGAAGCAGAGAACTCAAGAGTTAAATGCTTGTCCAAGGCCCATATAAATAATGGGTTAATAGCTGGGCAGTGGTTGTGCTCTTAATCCCAGCACCTGGAGAGTTGCCTGCAGAAGCAGAAGGATCTCTATGAGTTTGAGGCCAGCCTGATCTACACAGTGAGTTCCAGGACAGCCAAGGCTATACAGAGAAACCCTGTTTCTAAACACAAGAACAACAACAAATAAGGGGTTAATGATGTGAAAGAGAAGGATCCTCTTGACATTTGTATAATATCGCAACCACGAATAGCAGTGACAACAGTTCTGTGTCATTCATCTAAAAATGCTAGCAAGTGTGGTACCTTGTGCACATGTGGAGAACCAATGGCGCCAACACCATGGTAGAAGGATCCTCTACCTCAGGACAATACTAGGCTTCTCTAGCGTCTGTCAGCCCTCAACACACTTTCCTCAGCAAAGACTCCGGCATACAGGGTTGAGTGGCCTGAACTCAGCATAGGGAGCTGAGTGGATGACCTCAGCAGGTGGTAAAGATGAGATAGCCAGATCAAGCTGAGAACTGTGACACCACACATTATTAGACTGTTGCAGAAATTGAACCAGTTTGCCTTCCAGTCAACTTGTGACAGATTCAGCAAGGATATGCATAAGTTGGCAAGCTAACAAAACTTACTGTTTTTAATTAATGATATAGCACAAGTGTGGTGTGCTGCCGGGAGACGATCTGCAGAATAAGAAGACTTTGCATCATGACATAGCATGTCTTGCAACTTACTGAAGACTACGAATAAGAACTAAAATGCTAATCCATGTTCTAAACATCTGTGAGAAATGTGGCGCTTTTGACAACATGACCAGATCATCATTGAGAGATTCTCCAGGAAGTTGGCTTTGAGATTGCTGAAGCAGGAACTACCACAAGAAGACAGAACCTTCAGTGCTTGTGTACTTAGAAAACTCAGTCTTTTCTGAATGGAATGCAGATACACAAAAGATCACAGACAACAAGTTATAATATTTTTACACTTGCCAGTGGCCAAATAAATGAGAAACCATTGATGTTACCCCCGCCGCACCTCTTAAGACTTCCTCTCCTTGTTTTTGTTTGTCCTCTTTTTGTTTTTCTTAAGGTTTTAATACTTTCAAGGACTTTTTAAAATAATAAAAGACATGGCATTTAACTGAGCTGAAGAAGTTGATTACTATTTTTTCAATATATCAACTATAACATAACCTTAAAAATGGAGTTACATCTTTATGGGTTAATCTATCCCTAAATAAACCTTATACAGATGTTTTCTCTTGGGCATGTGAAAAAAACACATTTAAAAAAAACAAGCAAAAATAGATGGACTTGTGGCCCAGTAATTTTATTTGGTGTCAACTAATACAAGTTGTTAAACTTGTGGCCTCTGAGCTTTTGATAATCTAAGAAAATCTCTAGGCACTTTGAAACACAATTTAGCTAATGCTGTTGCATATCTGTTGGAGAACATTCCAGATTTGATTACATTCTGAGCCTATACTACTTAGATTAAATATTTGGAATAAATGAAATTATTCAACATTCCCTTTATTCTTGGAAAGATAGAAATGTAAGTGTTAATACAGATATCACCGTGACTTCCTACTTACAGGTCTGGTTTATGCCAGATCATTTTCAGGCTCTTAGGGAATAGCTCTGACAGGTCGATGACTTTGTAATGTAGAAGACATGTGAAATGCTCATATTTTCCTCAGATTGTTCCATTGCTAATGCTTGAATATTTTTGGTGATTGTCAGAAATCACCAATGACTCAAGAAATGTTTGCATTACACTTCAAAGTAGCATAGAGTGTATATTTTTTTTCTCTCATTTAACTTTTAAGGGAAATTTGATTCATCCATTATGTGTTACAGTCAATTTACTAGTATTAAATGGCTTAGCAGTTAAGAACACTTGTTCTGGGCTGGAGAGATGGCTCAGTGGTTAAGACTGCTCTTCCAAAGATCCTGAGTTCAATTCCCAGCACCCACATGGCAGATCACAACCATCTGTAATGAGATCTGGTGCCCTCTTCTGGAATACGGGCATTCATGGAGGCAGAATGTTGTATACATAATAAATAAATAAATAAATCTTTTTAAAAAAATAAAAAGGAACATGTTCTTTCAGAAGGCCTGAGTTTGCTTTTTTGAACTCACAGTGGGTAGCTCTTAGCCATATGTAACTCTAGTTCCAGGGTATTCTGGAAGTACACATATGTGGTATACAGACACATACTTTAAAAAACAATTACATAGGTATAAAAAATAATTTTTATTATTGCTGTTACATCTGAAGCAACTGTGGTGTTTTACCAGGAAAAGGTGGTTTTTTTGTTGTTTTGGTAGGAACAAGGTTAATGGAAATCCGGACATATGCTTCCCACAGTGTCCAACAGCAAGAATCCAGTTGTCTATGTAAACCCACACATTGTGCCACTCGCCCCTCAGATACTGCATGATGAAGAATATAGGATCCAGGAGACCTGGATACTATGTTCCAAAGACTGCTTTCACACTGATTGCAAAATTTGGTATTCCTCTCAGTTACTTCACATCCTCCAAATAACATTGCCATAGTTATGCTGGCGTATGCGTGCTGCTGCTAGATATGAGGTGACTCCCTGTAGCTTTGATTATACTTCCCAATGCATCCTGCTGACTGGGTGGTTACTCCAAGCCTGTGGTGTATACTGCATCCTGCTGGGTGTGGAGCAGTGACTCATTTGGTTTATACTGCCCAATGCATGCTGCTGGTTATGGGCTGGCTACTCTGTAGATTTGGCTTACATTGCCTGGTACACCTTTGTGGGTGTGGGTGGGGACTCCAGTGCCTTGGCTTTATACTGCCTGGTGTTTGCTGTTGCACACCTCACCATTCTTGAATCTTTGCTGGGGAAGTGGCTACTCTGACATCTGATCTGTTTTTTGTACACAGTGACACTCTATGTCTTGCTAAGTTATCTGACTTCTTCACAGACTGGTTTGGATCTATGTCACCATTGCTCCTGGAGTATCTTTGCTCGGGGAGTCTCTGAAATTGTTAGTCTCTGACTCCTTTCCAATTCTGGAACCTAATCTTGCTGCTCCCGGGCTCCCGCCTCCCAGAACTACATGACTCTGGTCTCTTTTTGTCTCATGTTCTCTCATGTTCGTGACTCCATATGAGTATCTACCCATCTTTACTAAATTGTAAGAACAGACACTGAGATGATCCTGTACAGGTCTAGACAGACAGACAGGTGGGTGGATGGCAATTCAAATAGGCTTCATTAGCGGTGAGGACTGAGCCAAACCCCTGAGATAGTCAGGTATTTTCTGTTGGTCCCTGGTGTGTAGGCTGGTGGGGTTGTGGCCATCTGTTACAGTACTAAGTGTTAACCCCTTTCCTTTGGTGTGCTCAATACTCAGGGCCAGCTTTCCTGGTGCTCCCATGTGCTCATTTGCCCCCAGTCTACTTTGTTAAGTGGTATTTTTGGTAGCTTGAATGAGAATTGTCCCATAGGCTCATAGCCTTGAATATTTGGTGCTGTGTTAGTGGAACTGTTTGGAGGGGGTGTTTCACTGGGAGCAGGCTTAGAGATTCAAAAGCCCAAGCCACTCCCAGTTATCCATTTCTGGCTCCTAGTTGTAGCTCAAGATGTGAACTCCCAGCTGCTACTGCTGACATCATAGATTCTAGCCCCCTGAAACATAAGCCCAATTAAACACTTTGTTCCATAAGTTTCTTTGGTCATAGTGTTTTGTCAGAACAATAGAAAAGTAACTAAAGCAGTATGCATCTTGCGGGTGGTGTGAGGCCAGATGGAAGGTGTTTATGTGCAGATCCCACATCTGCATCTACTCTCAAGTTGGAGTCAAATGCTGCTTGTAAAATGCGGTAACAAAGGACAGGCTAATCTGAAAAAATACACACAGCCTGATCTTGGTAGTGTCCTTGCAGTCCTGTCAGAGGTCTGAGCGCTCGTGTTTGCTTGTTTGGCTCAGCTGGTTGCACACACCCACTTGTGTTGCAGTGATGTGGCCGTTCCATGCCAGCCACTGAAGAGATCATGGAAAACAACTTCAGGTCCGCTGTGTTCTGACCTTTTATTTTATTTTATTAGTTTTTGGTATTTTGCTTCTGGCACACAGGCTTTGTCTTTTAACCACCAATTTGTGGTCATTGTTTTAAATTTCTGTCTCTCCCTATAATGATATTTGCATAGGGAATAAATCAGATTTTCAAAACCAGTATATTTTAAGGATATTCTCCAAGCTTTTATTCTATTAAAAAAATAAGCAAATCTAGATTGTTCTAGAGTCCCCTGCCTTAAATAAAGGGAGTGCACCAGACACACTCCTTGCTTTAGCTTCAGCTGCCTATCTGGGAAGTGCTTTCCAACAGAATGGAGTCCATGTGTGTACCTTTGTGGCCGCTCCCTGTACTCTGGAGACTGTCAAGTGTCCTAGCAGGAGGACTGCAGTGGATTACGCCCTACACATTCCTCTGCGGTTTTGGTCTGTAGTTGTTGGATTTCTGAAAGAGATCTTCCTTCCTCTTATCTTTCTTTTTTTTAAATTTTATGTTTTATTTATCTTTTATTTTATGTGCATTGGTGTGAAGGTGTCAGGTCCCCTGGAACCAGA